GCGGCCGCACAATCGCATAAAATCCAACAGGGACAGATTATAATGACTCGAATCTCTCTTTTTTCTTTTTTTTTTCTTTTTTTTTTCCTTGCGCCTTGAGAGAGAGTGAGATAGAGAGAGACGAGTGCGTGCTTTAACCCTTAAAAAGTGAAAAAAGTATGATATTATACTAGATCTAGTGTACAATTGTTTTAACATTTAACTCCTTTGCCAAAAAGTGGGATACCTGGGTGAGACTAACGAGGTCCAAAAATCAACGTAGGCTCGACCGTCTTGTGCGAATAAAATTATTTCTTATTCGCACACCCGGTGTGAATAATATTAATTCTTAAACGCACACCCGATGTGAATAATCACTTCCTTGTCTTCCTAATAATATGTAGGCCTATTGACAATATATTGAAATCTATTAAGTCAGAAAGTTTTTAAGTATTAGAAAGGCATATTGATGAAAGGTGTGAGCAAGATCGTTATTAGTTAAGTTAAAAATAAATTAGGTAATAGAAATGTAGGGTACTGCTATTTTGTTAAAAGCTATAGACCCTTACTTTCAAATAAAGCCTTACTAACTCTTTACTAAACATTGTAATTGCCTTATTTTAAACGGAGTGTCTACGTACACGGTAACCGGGCTCGTAGTTTCAGTATCTACGTACACGGTATCGGGGTGCTTAGTTTCGGGGGCCCCTTGAGCTAGGTGAACAGTAAATGCTTCGCTCCCTTCATGACCTTGACTTCTTTCGCTTTTGTTACCCGGAATTCTCAAATGATGGCCTGATTACTGTTGTAACAATTATGACATATATATATATATATAGGCCTTAAAATAATCTATTCTTTCTCTAAAGCTTTGTCCGAGTTCTGGTTGCTGGGGCCCATCATCAAGAACTGTCAGTGAAACTTTCAAACGCTTGCATTAACATCTCATGACATGACCTCCTACGTGTGAGTAGGCTTAGCCCGTGTGTCGGGGGCCGTCGGTTGTCGAGGTCAACAAAGTTCATTCACACTGGACGCGTTGGTCGAGGTGTTTTTCGAGACTTAACCAGTGTGGGACAACCGATGGGAGGGGGTGGGGGTATTTTTTTTACACTTGGGCTTAAAGTGCGTGCCGTGATACATGTACTAATTGAGGATAAGAAAAAAAATTAATGAACAACTTTGGCGCTTTTTTTGGGGTGGGGTGGGGGGTTGCTTTGAGTGTGTTGCCTTATTTTGGTTCACAGTTGTCGTTGAGGAAACAAGACGGGTGTGTTCCATTATTTGGATTCAAAGTTTTACGTCAACCTGGATACAAATAAATACAACAGGAAAACGAGGAAAAAATGAAAGAAGTCAAGGTCATGAAGGGAGCGGAGCATTTACCATGCACCTAGCTCAAGCGGCCCCCGAAACTAAGCACCCAGTTACCATGTACGTAGAGATACTGAGACTACGTGCCTGATTACCGAGTACGTAGACACTCCGTATTTTAAAAACTATTGTTCAGCTATAACAATTTAGACGAAAATTTAATTTACATTAATAATTATAACTTCAAAAAAAAAAGCTTTAGGCTATTCCTCCAAAGCTCTACTAGCATAACAATTTTTAAAATATATCAGCGAAGTCATTTTGTCACACATAAATAGGGTGTGACGAGATGAACGTGTGACGAAATGACCAGATACCTAGATGACTGTAGACTTAGAGATTCTATGACAATGATGAGACAGATCTAGTCAATAGAGGCCTATATGGCTTTGTTTAACTGAAATATTGAGTTCGCAGTTATTGAATATTGTTGCTAGGGCAGGCTAAGCCTTGATCTAAGGTGACCAATTTTTAGTCAAGCACAAACTCATGCTCATGCCATTCATTTCAAAATGGAAGAGGCTATCCGTACTTAATGACGGCTAGCTGCTAGACTGGCAGGCTAGCCATACTTAATAATGATGACTAGACTGACAAACAGCAAAAAATAGGCCTACTGAATTGTAAATAAATTTTTTGTTTGCAATACCCAAAAAAGTATTTGTGTTTGAGACAAAACCAAAAGGTGCCTTACTGACAGTGCATGTATAAATTATAAACCTAAATTGACCTCTGTACTCAATAGGTTTCTAATAGGCCTAAAAAAATAAGTATGCCTAGACTGGCGGCAGGCTATTAAGTACGGGTAGACTGGTAGGCTAGCCGTACTTAATAATGATGGCTGAACTGAAATGTAAATAAAATTTTAATTTGCAATACCTAAAGTATTTGTATTTCAGATGAAACCAAAAGGTGCCTTATTGACGTGGGTGTATTTTAAACCTGAATACTTACTAGATCTAATGAGACCTGTGTACTCAACAGGTTTCGGTCAAGAGGGCTTAACCTAGATCTAAGTATGGCTAGACTGGCCACTTTGTTTCAAAATAATTAGGCGCTAAGTTATTTTGTGTGTATTTAATTTTGGGGAGGAATTCAGTAATGAGCAACAACTGAAATATGAGGGTTTAGATCAGGGTTTGGGATAGGTCTAGAGTCTGGTGTGTAGGCTTAGGTCCCTTCTGCCTTCTTTTATAATTGTGTTTGTTGTGAAAGTCGCTCATTACAGAGTCCTTCCTAATTTTGAAACATACAAAAAAAGTGACATTTATATGAATTTTACTCATTAATATAATTCTTCTACAAGGATCTGGTTGGTATTCATGTGTTATAAATATATATATGTGAGGCATCATGGGGAAATCAGGCGCTCGTCAAAATAATGGAATTGAAGAAATCAGCTGTTTTCTGCCAGTGTTGCAATTTTTATCGAATTTTCGGTTTTTTTATCCATAACTGTAAAAACACATTTCCATGTGAATTTTTAAAAACGTTGATTAAAGGCACAGAATATGTTATTTTATCGTTTTCAGGGACTCTCAAGCTATTGAAATTGTCAAACTTTGGCGGCCAATTTCTCGCTAATTTTACCTCTGAAACCGGCCGAGCCCCACCTCCTTCAATCGCCAATAATCTTGACTTGTATCGAACAAAGATGTATATTATTTTTTTCATCAAAAGCAAGGCAAATGGACTTTAAGATGATGCCATATGTCCCAAAATTGACGAGCGCCTGATTCCACCGCATCGTGACGCATGTTCATTAACGCAGGTGGCTAGAGTGCACTAATTGCGTTGATGTACTACTTCCCTTTACTCAAACAAAAAAACATTAATATTAATTGGCTTCTAGTCTGAATCTTGAAACTTAATTTAATGGTCAGGGATTGTTTATTGGAGATGTCTGCTCCTTTTTAGCACTTACCAGTCACACAGCCAGCAGTGCAAAATAACCCATCTGGTCGACCAGCCAGGAGGTTCACTGCAATGGACTTCTCGGGCCTGACCCAGAACACGAATCATTTTCACCATCGCATTATTGCGCCAAGTGACCGCAAAGTGTTAACCCTTTTGTTGCCAGGGGGTATACTTTATACTGTCAGTACTGATTTTCAGCTGAGTTCGTTACCCAGGAGAGCAGCCTAATGTCTCAGTGATGGACGCACAGTCTAGATCTAGCACACTCGTGACATATTTCGGACTCCGGGTCTTCAATTGTTTCACTTTTCTTGTACTCCCATTTCCTTCTATCTTACTCATTATTTCTTATCTAATAATCTGCAAATCTATGTCAAAAAGTGAATTTATTTGCTTTTTTAAAGTCATTTCAATGTTTACTTTTCACAAGAGCATGTGGCCACCTGCAAACCTAGCTCTATGTTTATCTATCACTTGCAAGCCTAGCTCTATGTTTATCTATCACTTGCAAGCCTGGCAAATTTGGTACCAATATATGAGCGTCTTGTATTCCCGAATTTGAATCTACACAGCGCTTGTGGCTAAAACTCTGAACTGAAGAATGAGAGCCAGGTTATTAGCGTGACAAACATGTACCGTCGTATTATGCAACCAGGAGCGGCAAATTTTTTGCCTTCTTCCTTAACGTACATGGAACGGCACGACACTAAAAATTACGCATTTTCATGACGTACCAGGTACATCATAAGGCAAAGAAGGGGTTAAAAATTAAACTATCCATTTGTCAAATATATCTGAAATTCTATCACTAAACATAAGAATCATGTGCTTCCCTTTCACAGAATAAAAAATGCTTAACTGTGTTTTACATGTTGACTAGAATAAGCTTAGAAACACTTTTTTCATATGAATACAAATATACTGAAATAATTCAAAGAGTAGGCCTATAAATATATGTACTGTAAAATTTATAATCATTCATTATTTTAAAAAAATCTTTTTACATATATGTGTTTGGAATGCCCTTCCCAGAACAGTTTTTTCCTTCCACAGATAATTGCTTTTGATGAGCTGAAAACAGACTACAAGAATCCTATCGACCAGTGCAATAGTTTAAATCCAGTAAGTACAAATTGTTTTGTAAAAGTGTGTTCCAGACCCTGCCAAGTGTAATGAGAAACAGGAGTGGGTCAGTTTTGGAGCTAACAGAGAAAGGTGTGCAAGGTCCTCTACTTTGCATTTATAATGATAAAAAATAATATGTCATGTTCTGACAGAACGAGCAACAAACAGCTTTAGGAAAAAACACTTTCAATGATTAACTCCAAGAACAGCTCATAATAATCACAAAGTTCCAAGACATGACAAGCACATCATCACTGGAGACTCAATCCAAATCAGATAACATTCATTTTCAAGCAGTTGATTGAAACACATTGCTCAAGAACTTAAGTAGAAACAAAAAGGGATTAAAGTGTGGAAAAACAACATCCCAATAGAATGCACTATTCCTGTATTACCAGTCCTGGGCAACAACGTCATTGCACAGCGGACAGGTCCATAAGTGCTCCGTTCCTCTCAGCACCAAAGCCCTCAAGGTATCCATACTGATTGTTTCTGTGGCTGTAGAGAATTCACTATGCACAGTGTAAACACAAGAACATAGCATACAAAGCTAAATGGACATCCCAAAATGAAAAGACAAAAGCCAGATTAACGATTTGGCCACAAAACAGGTATTGCAGGTATAGATGAGTTCATAGTAGTGTTGGGTCAAGCTCGCTAGTATGAGAGTAACAAATGATTAGTTGGAAATACTCACAAATGAACGGACGAATAGCAAACCTTTCACTGGTAAAGATTCATTTGCTGCACATCTGGCCGCAGAAACAGCCGTTCATTTTGCGAGGGGACAGACAGACAGAGAGACTCTTTACATGGCATGTTACATCTGCTGCGCCTTGACTAGTCTATGTCATGTACAGACAGATAAGTTCATGCACCTATGATGCAACACAAGTTACCCACAACAAACCCCCCTACATCCCACCATCTTTTTGGTTACGCCACTGCTGCTGTGGCTTGACAGCTTTTTTTCACTTTCTGCACTTGTCCCAGTGAAAGCAGGCTTGTAGAGCTTTCTCTCTTCTAAAGTATCATAATTAACTTCCAAGTGCAAGGCTAGAGTTTAAGCAGGTTAGTTATTCTTGAAATATCGGGTGGGGAGGGGGAGGGGAGGTGTGTAGGTCCTTTATTCTTTATTCAGCATTTGCATTTAGAATTTAGACTAGATGTGTGTTGTTGGTTTTTTTAGGTTGTTTCAGTCTTCAGTTTGTTTTTCCAATGAGTGGGCTGTCCCAGTTAATGTTCCAACACTGCTTTGTGTATTTTGTTTAAACTGATAAATGTTGGTATTTAAAGATAATAAACTGTTGATCAGCCAGCAAAAATTAGCAATTTAGTTGTAGGTAAGGATTAAGGCATCATGTAAGGATATGTGGGTAATGGATTTATTTTATAATTAAAAATTTTTTAAAATTATTTATGGTCTGTTTCAGCTTGTGATACCAGAATATGCCATTCACATATTCTTCACGTTTCTGTTTCTACTGGCGTTCCAACTGGGCACAGTGCTCTTCAACATGCCACTTATCATCTACCATATTCGAAGGTAAAGCCAAGAGTTTCTTTTACGTGGACTTACAGGAATTAGATAAACACTTATGCTGTCAAGTGCTCATAGAGGGGCAGCATTCAGCCTGCTTAGTTTGCTCCTCTTTTTTGTTGTTAGCTAAAAATCTAAGTTTCAAAGCATGTATGATGTCTAGAAGTCATAATGTATAGAGATCTTTTCAGTAAAGACTAGACATCTGTGAGTAAGATGTAACAGAAAAAGCTATTACAGTTTATGTCCAGTTGTGTCTGATTATGAATTATATATGCCTCCTGCTTTCTCTATTGTTATTGGGAAATGCTGTCTATAAGCCAATAAAATGAACAAAAAAATTTAGATGAATCTATGAAAGAGAGTCATTTATCCATTAGTTTGTAGTACATGATAGTACATCATTTGATGACATCGAATGGCAGAATTTTAAACCAGACACCAAAGTCCTCAAAGGGCAAATGCCGAGAGTCTGTTTTCTTAGCTCAAAAAGACTCAGCTTGCCTGGGCTGGCCATTTTGTAAGAATGCCTGATCTCAGAATCTCAATTCTATTCATTCTACATAAATACTTCAACGTGGGAGAGCCTAGCTCCTAAGTCCTGACAGACCCAGCTGGAGAGCAACAGTCACAGAGGGCAGCAAATCATGTATGAGTGAGCTGCTTCACCGATAAGAAATGCTGAAACCAAGAGAGAAGCCTGGAAACTGCACTGTCACAAATGGCTTTGGCCACAGCAGAAGCCACAAGTCATCTTAACCTTTAATTCTTCTATTTCGGTGGAGAAATATTCCCCTCTGCAGATATATTGGTCATCGTCAGGCATTGGAAGAGCTAAATATTAGTATTATTAGTATTGTACAATACTGAAGGGAAGTATCCGAGAGGTATTATGAATTTTGAAGTTCATGTATTTTAACTTAAGCAGTGGAAACAGAAAACAAATACAGTGGAGTCCTTTTAAACCGAACATGGTCAGTCCAAAATAGTAGTACAGCAGTCTCCGCCTAAGATCCTAGTGCTCGGGAGCAAAGAAAATGTGATCTCTTGCGCGAATGGGATCTTACCGGAATGTAGACTTTCAGAGCGAGGTCTTAGGGGTGAATTTTATGTTTTCTTAAAATAGTGGGATCTTAAAGCAAAACTGGATCTTAAGTGGAGGAATCTTGGGTGGAGACAACTGCATACGAAAAGAAAAGAAAATCCCTGATTTTTTTTCTTCAATTTGAGCATGCTATACAGAAAACCAGGCTAAACCTATGAAAATCTGATGGGCCTACAGATTTTGGTTAAAGATGACTCCACCATAGATGTTAAGTGAGAGAAAGATGCCCATTTTTTAATGTCGGAAATGGAAAAAGTCTTTTCGTGAGCTCTAACGTGAACCAACAGATCCAAGTTTCATGTAATCATGTGGTGACTTAGATGGAGATTTATTATGATGTAAATGGTTTACCCTCTCTTTAACACTTACTGCACTATCAGGTACCTAACAGTGACCCTACATCTACCTGTAACTAAAATTGTAAAGTCCTCTCTGCTAATTCTGCCTGTTTTCATTGTAGCAGTCTGTTTCCAATTCATGACACTCTTCTTTTGCCATTGTGTTTTAAATTAAGACTAAGACATTCATTGTCAGATGAGAAAGATATGTGGAAATATCAATAAGTCATATATATTTCCCCTTTCATGCAAAAGGCAAGGCCTCCCAAACGACAGTAAGTCATATATATGCACGTTTACGTACTTTCAGGTACATGAACCGACCTGTGATGAGTGGAATGGGCCTCTATGACCCCACATCTATCATGAATGCAGATGAATTGGGTCGTGCACAGAAAGAAGGATGGGTGAAACTGGGGTTTTACCTCATCTCTTTCTTCTACTATCTTTACAGGTATGTTTGCATTTGGCATATTTCTGGACTCTTCTCAATTTTGAAGTTTTAAGAAGAAAACAAAATAGGGACTTTCATTCAGCAATAACACTGGATGCATGTTGGTGTTGATCTGAATCCAGCCTAGTTAATGAATGTGACCTTTGTCTAGCGTCAGTCACGTAGTCAAATTATCTCCTCACGGGGTAGCCAGACGTGTAAAGGGGTTTTATTTAGTTTTAGTAGAGGTTTTACGGCGCTCGCTACTGCATAAGGTCATATGAGCGCCAGAAGATTAGAGGTGTTACAAGAGAGTAACAAACATAAAAAAGAAGAAGGGGAGATAAGGACGATAGATGTTTGATAGGAAAGAAGAAGCAAACCACACCAAAGCACCCACCAAACGCCCACAAGCGATTTTATGATTAAACGAAAAGTAGGCACTGGGTGCCATATCCTCTGCTGTGCATGTACTCCTGTTCCCCACTGTGATGGCCGTTCAATAACAAATACTTTGTAAAACGCACAGAGCATTCTGTAGAGTATGGATGATAAATGCAATTATTACTATTATTGTTGACCGTGCATCCCAAATGATACTTAGTGAACCTCCATGGGATACTGAAAAAAAATGGTAAAAATGAGGAGGGGAGCTCTCGTGGCCTAGAGGTTGAGGTGTTCGCCTCTCATTCAAAGGTTCCGGGTTCACCTTGGTGGATATGGATATGTGAAGAATACAAATTGTAATCTAAAGAAAGCCTCTATTATGCTCTTTACCAGTTTGATGGAGTGATAGCATATTTTTTTGATCAGTTGGTGTGATACTAGACTTTTGTGTCCAAATGTCTAAACTGGCATCTTTCCTCATGGGAAGTTTTAGAGGATCTCCGGCTCTCAAACGATTTAAAAAAATAAATTATATTCTTTTGATCTCTGTTGGGAAATTTTGGTTACAATGGCAAACATATATACCGTAGCTGCCACTTTTCCGCTAAATAGCGGAAACTCCACTTCATCTAGCTTTTCCCGCTACTTTCCTCCTTCCTCCGCAGGACCGCTCTCGGTCGCAAATTGCAATACTTTTTTTTTTTAGACACGGAAAACACCGAACCGGGAGAGAGACGAAAACGCAGCTTGCGCATGTCCACCCGTAGCTTTCTACTTCCGTTTTTCTGTGCCAAGCGCTAGTTTCACATTGTTTATTGTGGAGCAACACAGTGTCGACCGAGCATCGGGACGATTGTGTGCCGAGTTGTCATTGAAAACGACAAAAGTTCGAGAGAAATTGATGCAGAATGCGTTCGGTGCGATAAAGAAATCGGTCAGTACAGTGGCAAAGGTGTTGCCTCCTTGATCCAATACTACTGCTCTACATCAATGCACAAGTTTAAAGTAAAAGAAATCTTTTTATGAGACACCAGCTGGCAACAAACACTGGATTTTTAGTCACCAAACTGTGTCAAATGCTTGTTAGTCAACTTAATGCTTTGTTTTTGTTTTTTGGGGGGTTTTCCAAATACATTTTAATTCTGTAGCCTATGGTTGACAAATATATGACAGTTTTCCCTTCCAAAAACATAGGCTAGATGTTCTAATTTGCCTCTGGATCTCACTGGTTTTACTCCGGCCTTCGGAGAGCGCACGTACGCCTTCGCGTGAATTTCCTCCTTTTTTGAAATTCCTGAGTGGCAGCTATGATAGACATAAATACATAGTTGTAAATACATACATAAATACACAATATCACACCAATACAGAACAATTTCACAAACATGCCATTGCTGGTCACCACTGTGCAGCGCCTATTCTTTTTTAGCTAGGTTTGTCATGTCTTGCTCAAGGACACACCCCAGTGACCACCCATCTAAACCCTGTGTCAGCGATATCTGTTTGACATTACTTTTGAGTCTGAATTCACTACTGTGGAGTCCACTTATAACGAGTCCTGAAATAACGAGAATCTGTTATAAAGACCCCATTCTGAAACCACGTTTTTTTTTCCTGTTCTTTATTTTTGTAGGTAAAATACTGCTATAGCGCAATCAGACAAACATGCGAGTCGGTTATAACGGAATATTGCTACAGCAGTGCATAGGCCAATTTACATAATGTAAAACCTCGCCAGCTGAGAAACTTGTTGGAGATCTAGCAGCAAAACGAAGAGTGGGAGAGCCCACGTGTGTCAACAATGAAGGCCGGAGCAAATGAGTAGGGAGGTTGTGGCATGCGCAGACCAGCAGAACGCATGGCATGATAGACCGACCTAGGCCTAGTCTAGATTATCTAGGCCTACCATGCCTCTCACTTCTCCGATACGGGGTGGAGAGATGGAGAGGTCACAGCAATATGATGATGAATGGGACAAATGTGTGATGTGCACAAGTAGACGGAATGCACCACAGGGTGTGGTTGGGTGGGGGACAACACAGCAGGCGAGTTAGCCTAGAGCCCTTTCGTTCTTATCGCCAGCGCCGAGCTGTCGAACATCGCTAGCGCGAGAGAAAGAAACCTGATTCAATTTTTGATCAAATAAGACCTAGAGGTAATGTTGAACTCAATCTTCACCTGGGAATAAGAAAAAGAAATGAACGAACATCAAACTCATAGATTAGGCCCACTTATTATTTCCCTTGAATTTATAACTGGATCCCCCATAACGAGAATCCTGCTATAACGGACATTTCGCACCAGTCCCCTCCCTCTCATTATAACAGGATTCCACTGTATTCACTTAACCACTTTTTGGTCTTATAGTAGATGATAGTTATAATAGACCCAATAGTAGATGATAGGTATAATAGACCTCCAACTTCTGAAATGAGAGCAGCAATGAGAGAGACAGCAAACCAGTACTATATTGTGCTATACAGGCTGACTGTAATTAAGCTGAAACATTCATAGATAATGACAACCTGTTTTCTTCTGTTTTTCCACAGTATGATTTATGTCCTGGTATCTTCCTGAAAAGTGATCTGTGAAGTGCTGCGGCAACAACATGCATGCAAGGCAAGAGAAAGTGACAGCCTCACATTACTACAGTTGTCTCCAGATGAACAAAGAGTGGCTGTTGTGGAAATCCGACTTGCCTTAAAACTGCCATTTGAAAGTTCTGAATTTTCTTTTATTTACTGTTGAGGATGTCTGTGTGTGATCTGTTTTCCTTTCGTTTAAAATTCTTCTAGTTTGGGCATTGACGCAGTTGTTTTTTGAGCAGAGTAACGGTTGAATCGCCCTTGTTTGAACTACAGTTTGTCAGCTTCCCTGAGCTTTATATCCAGATCTGGATAGAATGTTTTGTTAATAGGAAAGAAAAAATCTGGCCCCCAAACTCTACTTATCTATAAATTACAGAAGTTTCGGAATTAAAAGAAATAAACATTTGAACAGTCCACTCCAAAGTAATAAGGAGTTTGCTGATTAAGTTTTTCTTTTACTAAAACCACATAGGCATGCCTGGGCCTCATTCATCAGTTACAAATCAGACTGGACAAGTATTCTTTTCTTGGTTTTTAAGATTCTTGTTTGTTTTGCAGGTTAATGTGTTGTATTTTTATTACTCAATCTTTGCATCGCATTGACACAGTAGTCTGTAATGTATTTCAAAATGCACTGTGCACAGATTAGTTACTAATGAAAGTATTGGTTTGAATTGGTACTGATAGTTAACCATGTATTCTACAATCAACTTCTCCCTTCAGTGGGGTCAGAGAGTTCATGAAAAGTATTATTTGAGGTATCATTCCCAAGGAGACCGAACCGAATCTGTTCTGAAGAAGTATGAAAAGAGGGGTCATAGAAGTAGCCTACTTTACAGGCTTTTTATTTTGGAACCCTTTTGGATATGTCATGCTCTGGTATTATTCAGCGCTGGTAATATATCCTGAATAGCCTTAAAATTGTATATCCTAATAATGAGTACTGGAAGGTGTGGGGGGGGGGGGGGGGGGATCTGATGCGCTCCAATTTATTTCTACTTTCAGGCCAATGTAAATGAATTCAGAATTGTAAAATTCAATGCTAACATGCCAAATGTTTGTGTTATTCATGACACATAATATATATCACCTGTTGCGATGGTAATGACAGCCACCTTGAAAATAACAACGTCTAAATTCGTAAAATTTCAAACGGTAATTATAGAAAGATGTTTTACTTTGTAAGATGGGAATGGAAAGGCAGGGTGTATATTGAGGTAATAGGGTTGCTATAATTTTGATCGAAGTGTTTTCATGGATGTAGTGTGACTCTGAATTTCCTGATGATAATGTAAAAGAGTTAAAAATAAACCCACCTTTCCTCTCCTCAACCTGATATAAATACTCATTCACCCTGTCATGTTAGAGAAAAGACAAAAATGACGAGTCTGTTACCCACAAATATGGATGAGCTACACCCTGTCAAATTTCAAGTCTTTAGGACAATAAATAACTGAGATTTTGGGTTTTTATGCATGCTCTCTGTGAAAAACATAATTCAGATAAAATGACTTCAAAGTCGGAAATGATCTGGTGTGATCGTGGCATGCTGTCCTTGAAAAACACAGTTCTTAGGAAATGGCCATCAAAGTTGAAAATGCGAACACCGGATTCGATATCTAGACTCATTCTGGTATTCAAGAGTGCCAAAGCCTCAAAAATGATATTCCGCCAGTCTCTCTCACCCCCCACCCCCACCCTCACAATCCCTAGCAAGGAAAAGAAAGAAGGATATATAAGGGATAAAAGAATGAAGAGAAATGGATGTTTCACTTAAACTTGAAGGTACTGTATTGTTCATTGTCTACCTTCTATTGCATGTTGACATATCATGTTAAGGGTCTGAAACATTTGCTTGACGACTTAAAAGAGATGAAGTCGTGCCATTTGAACACATGCTATGAGTCTTTCCTTAATGTTTTTTTAAAAACTTTTGGCTCTTTCCTTGCTTGTGATTCTTTATTTCTACTTCATAATTTGCGTTCTGCCACAGCTCTGTCAGTTTTTCTGCTATGATTCTAACTGTTGACATGTTTTACTCACTTATTCTTCGAATGTGCATACTTTGTTCTTTAATATAATATGGTTGTATTGTCCTTTCTAGGTGACAGTGCTGCATTATTTTGCAGTAGTGATACTGTGCACCGTGAGAGTCTCAGCTTTAGACAACCAGTTCTGCCACTAGTTTTGATCAGTAACACAGAGCATTTTCAGGCTTTATGTGGTTATGAGGATTGTATGTTTTTAAAAAAATGAAATTGCATCAGGCAAAATGGGTTTGCATTGTAGATTTGGTGTTAACATCGAACTCTGTAAGACAGACTTTTGGTATTGAATTGTATTTTCAGGTGGGTTTTTGGGGGGGGTTTTTGGTTCTTTTCATGGGACCCTTTTCAGGAGGTATTTTTTAGAGGTGAATGGTAGAAAGGACTGCTACTGAGTATTTGATTCCAATTTCGCTTACTAGCAATAATCGCACTTGTGGGTTTGGAATAGAGAATTAGATGAATGTCTTTAATAAGCCTTTACAGCTTCAATTGTAAAGCACCTATGACATCTGGGGAGAATTGTCTTTGCCATTAGTAAGCTTGCATAAGTACATGGACAAACAACTATGTTTGGAAGGCGAAAAAACATCACTTTTACTCATCTTTATTTTTTTCTTTTGCGGGATTTGCTACAATGTGGCTTTGTAATTTAGGGGTTTTCTGAGCACTAAGATATTTTTAAAATTGTATTGAGAATAAAATTTCTTTGCTGTGCTATGTAGATTTATGATGTTTTCATGACTGGGCTGTCAAAATATGTGGATAGGTTTCCTTCTAGTATTTCTTTTTCATTGTTGCAGGTCATATTTTTTATGCATCAATAACGAAAGCTGACTTTTTCTGGTACTCAGTTTTGTGCATGATAGAATTAAGGTGGAAAGAATTTCCATTGAGATAAAGCTGTCAGTTTGGCGATAAATACTTTCATACTTTAATAGGTTTGCAATTGAACAGAAAATCCATTTAGTGTCTTGGAGTTCCTGATGTTTTTCTGAGGCCCAAGTCTAATTAAAATTATTTTCCTATAGATTGTCTAATCATGAAGCCACAAACTCATCCCAGATATATTTTATCAGTGGATGGTGGATGATATTTTATGAAATTGTAAAACAGTGTCTGCAAGGTGTAATACTCCATATTTTCTCCAAATTTGGGACCTTCCATTCTGTGTTGTTTAGTAATTGTTGTTATTGTTATAATTGCTCACATTTCTTAATCTCAAAGAGAAGCAGCAGGACGGTAGTTTATCAGAAAGTCCCCTTAGATTGAATTATTAAAGAACAGTGAATGAGAACAGCATAGTATTAGTAAGAAGTTTTGAGTGCTATTCCTTTTCCAAGCCCGAGTGCAACTTTCCTGGCCAATTGTTTCTTTCTTATTTTCTCCTATGGTAGGCTGAAAGAACCTTTGGTGTGTAACTTTTACGTTTTGAAAGTCAACAACATGAAACCCATCTTCCTTAAAAAGAAGTTCTTGTTTCCAGTAGGTTTTGTTTGTTTTTTTAAATTCCAGCTCGCTCTTTATTCTTTCAAGGCCCCTGTAGTAGAAAAAATTAAAGCTCTTTGAATCATTTGCCAGAGATGTCACAATGTCTTGCATCACATACATTGTACTAAAAATGGCATTTTTTCCGGCCAGTTCTTAAAGGTTCGAACCTCAACTTACCTCATCTCCTCTTTTCTTTTGTGCCTGTTTTGTTTTGTGAAAACTTGTAAAAAGTTTTTAAAATGAAAGAGCAAGGGCTTCCTTTTACCAGTTCAACAGTTTTGACTAGGCAGATACAGGTATATGGTCTCCCCACCCCACCCCCTTTTAATATTTTTTCTATGGTGTGTGTGTGTATTTTTTGAGTGAACATAGTATGTGTATGTTAAAGAAGACTTATTTATGAATGCTTCTCCCTTGTATGCTTGTCTGTGTGTGTGTGTGCTTGTATGTGTATATGTACATGTATATAATCATATTAATTCATAACACTGATGACGCCTGTTGAATTCAGACTTCAACCAAAATTTGAATTTTCTTTGCTGCAACCGTCATAATTGAGTAGATTAGTTAATGTAAGGCTTCCCCTTTTCCGTTCTCTTTTGGCTCATTATCCAGAGGGGATTTCATCACATTTTTTGTAACAGTAGATTGGGTTAGTTTTGTCAAACAATATGTGCACAGTGTTTAATAAGTTCTGTTCGTTGCAAAAATGTTTTTCTAGTTCAAAAATAACAATAGGAGTTTATATTGAAGATTCATTTAATTCTTTTCAGTCATTTCATTATCCTTTATGGTACTATAATCAACGTTTATCTAGATTCTTCTTGTTAGTTCTCCTCTGTATATTGATAATCATGAATGATTGAGTACTGACTGGTTTGAAAATTTTTATGCGTTTGTCAATTTTTTAAAACCATTTTTAGATTGTCTTTGCTAAATAAAACCTGAACAAATCCATAGATGATGTGTTTGCAAATGAATTTGGTTTCAAGTGGCTCAAGTGTATTTGACAGGTGCAATTCGAGAGGCACAAATGCAAATATCTAGGGCTCGTGAAGTTGGTTGCTTCTGGGATAGGTGTTGGGACTCTTTGCCTGTCCTGTTCGATGGTGAGATGGTCGTAACGAGCTGTGTCAAGGTTTTTCTGTGATAGTGATAGGTTAGTTTGAAATAGAATAAAGGAACAGACACTTGAATCGGCATCAAGGCCTGGAACTTGAACATTTTGCACTCCCTGGAAAATTATAATAGAACTGATACCTGTCTCAGATCTGGCACCTCATGATGATGATGGTCGG